GTAGCTAATTAACGAAATTATGATTAAATAACTTAATTGTAACACCACTGCAGAATATCATATGATACATACATAGATATTCGTTGATTCTTTAAAAACATTTTTATCAATACCTACATCATACATTTAAGTAAATACAGTAACGCAAAAAACAGATATTGATAAAAAAAAGTGTACAAAAGAAATCCGTAAGTACGCCTGGCAACATTACCAAAGTCTTGTTTATATGTTGCTAGGATACGTTTAGATATGCGGGCCGCTGTATTTGATTCTTCCTAAAATTCTGCTGGTGGCGTACTCTACCGGCAATTCGGAAATTTAAAACTGCTGGCCTATTCCAGGAGCGGTCTGTGGCGACAGCTATTTTGTCTGTGATAGGGCATAGCCTTGCCTCGTTATAGAAACAATAGTCTTTATAAATGCTCAGATATTTGGCATTAATAAAAAAAAATGAAACATTTGCAGTTATCGAAAAAATATTAAAATATAGCAAGTACTTTTTTAAAGACAAGCTTGGTATAATTTTAAAATTTAATTTTGCCTCGGACTTATGTCATTGTTATTTAGAGGATTAAATAATGGAGGATGTTTTAGCAAAATTTCACTGTTTTAACAATAACTTCGCACCACAAAAGAATTGGAGAGAATAACTGTAAAAGAAGTATAATACATTTTACGAAAATATAAAACAAACTAAACGAGAATATTCAAAATATATTCCAAATATTATTAATCCTAGGCAATTCCTTTTTATCGCATACGGAAGGCTTGGTTTCGTTAATTTTACTGCACACCACTGCCACGAAGTCTATCAAGGATTGCTCCTGGGTCTGTTGGTCGAAAACGCCATCGTACACCACTGTGGGCACAAAGGCGATTGATGGAGTCTTGTCGCCATTGGCAGCTAGCAGTTGGTCGCCTTCGGCCGAAGTGGCGCAGGAGTTTATCTTTTGGACATCCAAATTGTACCTCCTAGCGCACTGAGAGAAAAATTGCGACTGTAAATACAATGATCTTTGATGTAAGTCAAATTAGTTGTTGTAAAGAGTTTAGGGCGTGTATAGGAGGGGCAAGGGGGGTAGTTGATTTTATATTACAAAGTTTAGTGATCATATCCAGCACAGAACAAAACATTGTATACAAGGTGTTAACGAAATAAGTATTCAGTAAGTAAAACATGATGAAATATGATGAAAACCTTAGTAGAGTTTTTGTCAGTGACGGCCCCTAAGGGAGATACAGCCCATTGAATGGGTAACTCAGGAAACAGTTTATATTACATAACTTTAAAACGATTTAATATTAAGTCGCGAAATTTTGAAGTTCCATTACTATTTATGTGCTTAATAATCGGCATAATATACAAATCAAAATTTGCTACATGGGCGTAAGAAAATGCGGGACCATCGGTCAAATTTTACAATTTTTTTTGTACGACATCTTTTCCACTTCCTGAACCGAACTTATGAAAATTTATCAAATTTTGCATAAAAAAGTTACTCTTGTTAGATTTTAATAGCACGAGCCGTTTTCTAGTAAAATTCATTTCAATAATTCATTACATGCTCAAGAATGCCTGCTGAAAATAAATGTTTCAAATTGTGCCATGAGAAAATTACTATTTATAACACTTAACAAAGCTGTCAAGTATATGTCAGTTACTGATTAGATTACCTACTCAATATTCCAATCTAAGAAATTTGAATTTAGATACTGTAATAAACATAGAATAAACTAAATTAGGTATTATATCTGTAGCCTATCCTATAATGCAATATTATCTTTAACGGTGAAACTATATTTGCAATAAAAGTGTTATGTTTCATTGGTCTTTTTTTGGTATTTTTTGATTTTCAGATATAATAATAGTAATAACATTTTATTATTCAAAATTATTTATGTTACTGTTTACTACAAAACTATCTACTTAACTGTGATATTAAACCCGAACTTAATAACAGTTACATAACAACTACAATAACGATAATAATAGTACCTACACAAGGAAAATTAAATAAAAATAGTAATTTTCTTATGGCACAATTTGATGCATTTATTTTGCAGTAGGAATTTTTGAGCAAGTAATGAATTATTGAAATGGATTTTACTAGAAAACGCCTCATGATATTAAAATCTAATAAAAGTACCTTTTTCATGCAAAATATGATAAATTTTCATATTTTCGGTTCAGGAAGTAGAAAAAAATGCATACAAAAAAAAAATTGTAAAATTTGCCTCATGATGTCACATTTTCTTAGGCCCCTATAGCAAATTTTGATTTGTATATTTTATTGATTAATAAGCATATAAATAGTAATATAACCCCAAAATTTCGTGATTTAATATTAAACCATTTTGAAGTTATGAAATAAAAACTTGTGTCCTGAATTATGCCTTCAAGGGGCTGTATTTCCCTTATAGACCAGTGCTTAAGCCTTCAAAAATGGTAAAAAGTGAAAAAAAATATAGTAGGATGAAAGAAGAAACGAACTAGAATCCGAAAAATTTTTTCTAATCATTATGTACAATTTCGAGCTATTTATTAAAATTTACACTTTAATTACTCGAAAAACGTAAGATTCCATGTTACATTTTAAACAAAAAAATTACAAGTCGAAATATACTATTATAATTAACAACCAAATAAGTTTAATAAAGTTAATATTTAATAAGACATCTACAATATTTTGAGAAAGTTGTAGAATCTTCTTTTGTTTCTTTGCATTTCCTGAGAAAAAACACCATCAGAAAGTAGAGATTTCAACGAAGAAAAAGCCCACCGACGTTTTTACAAAAGCAGATATTTTGACGTGAGAAATTTCGATTGNCTTCATAAATGATTAAGCTACGTGACCACCGAGCTTAGGCAACCAATATTGCACCGTATTGTGTATAGATTTTGGCCTAACTTTCAGTAAGCCAAAATCGTGTTTGTATTTTTAACAGATGTTTAATATTAATTTTACGCAAGTGTTGTTAATCACAGCGTAACTACGCTATCTGTAAACTTTAAAAAAAATTTACTCAATTTTACTCACTAGAGTATCAATTTCTGTAGACACCCAAATGAGTAAAATGATCACACTATTAGTATGAGTACAATTAAAGTTTTATGAGGGAAACTATTGCAATAGAAGTGAAATTTACTCAAATCCGAGTTTCTGCTATCAAGTGAGTGACTTTTGACTATTCTGAGTATGTAAAACCAATTAAGAGTTGATTTTTTCTCTAAATTTAACTATTATTGAGTCATTTTTTACTCAGACTTGATTTATATTCTCTTTAAATTTTAATTTAAATATCAATGTATTCAATTTTTTTAGTGAAAATTATGTTTAGATGCGGTGGTTTGATTACAATAATTTTTATACTCACATATTCTGTTCTACTTATGTGAGACGCAGATCGGCTCCTCATGACGCAATTCACGAAACTGACGTCAGTCTCTGACCCGGCCTTCTGCGACAACGCGCAGGACTGGTACTTGTTTCCTTTGCACTCATTTGGGCCATGTTGGCAGGAGAACTGCCACACTCCGTTTGTTTTGCTATGCTGTAAACGGTTGAGAGAGTATAAGCATCACGTTTACTAATAGATGTCACACTTAGATCAAAAGCCTACTTATTTTATAGTTGATTGTAATGAAAATTTATGTTAGAGCCGCAGCATATGCAAACCAGCAAATTCAGATGAGCGGAAATCGCAAGACGCGCATAGAAGGCTGTGCGTCGTTTTCAATATGCAGAGTTGTGTATAATAAACAGATTTAGTTTCAGATGAACATTCTGAAAACACCGAAAATGGCTGAGTTAGATCAAGGTGGATACAAGAGACCGAAACTGCTGGTTTAGATACGCTGTGTTAGAACTCTACTCTTTCTCAAATTTTTATTGGACTTTAAGTGTGGGAATTTGACCTTCCAGTTTTTGAGTGAGTGAAAGTGCAGCAGAATCAAGACTGAGACTTAAAATATTCTAAAAGGACAGTGAACTAACAACTTCGTGGCTTGCCACCTTGAAAACCTGAAATAGTTCTTACAGCTGCTTTGCCATAAGGCACCAACTCGAGGTCCACGTACTTTGAAATTTCTGAGTAGTGAGGAGCCAGTTGACGGGCGATGAATTCGACACTGTCTGGACAAAGACTTTCGTAATACACAGAAACGTTTACGGCGTGCTGAAACAAACATAAGGTTATTGAGACAAACGTAAATATTGATTCATTCATTTATACAGAGCTTTTTCGAAGTACGTGCGGAAAATTCAGGAAAGTACAGTTGGGCCAATGGATCTTTACTAGTGCTAGCAAAACCGGAAAAAAGTGACACCGGCTAACCTGGTTCCGTAAAAGCCGATTTCAGATAAAACCGGTTAACCGAATAGTGGTTAAAAGCGGATATTCTAACTAAACCCAGTTATTCGAATAACCGAATAATCGCTTACTCGAATAATGGCCAAAACCGGATATCTGAAAATCGGTGTTTTGAAAAACTGAGGGGATATACGATGTTATTCACATATTTTAAATTTTAAAGTTAATTCTAATTTTAAAAGTTAAAATGTTATAAACTGTGGTTCTTCTATTTATTATTTATATAAATGGGTACGGTTTTTTTTTCTGTTTCTACAGATTTCACATATTTGTGTGGATAGCAGGTAAAAAACTCTTGGAGTGACACATTTATATAAGGTGTATTTAAATGAAAGGATACAAATGATATCAGAGATTCCTTGGGTGAACATAAGTCGATTTAACCTAACATACATATATCCTAAGTCGCATAATAAAAAAGATACAAGGTGTCAAAATGAAAAATAAAAACTGTTTTTCAAAAACTGTTTAAAAATTGCGAATGATAATTTTTTATACCCCTACCATCTACAACCTGTGCAGGAATTGACTGCTGCGGATTTACCTAACAGGGTAGATTTTTGTCAATGGTATAAGAACATTTCAAGGGAAAACAGAAATATTTTATCCAGTATTTTATTTAGTTATGAAGCGTCATTTCAAAGACATGGTTTAGTGAACCATCACAATAATCACTCATGGTTTGACGAGAATCCTCACCAAGTTTGTACATCCAAATTTCAACATAATTTTAGTTTAAATGTATGGGCAGCTTGTAGCAGCATCTTATTGGTCCGTTTATTCTTCCTTGCGACTCGGTGGAGCCGAATATTTGAGATATTTGAATGAGCAACTCCCAATATTGCTTAAAGACGTGCCACTAGCTATCCATGAAAACATGTGGTACGCACATGACGGAGTTCCTGCTCAAATTTTCCTGGGAGTCAGTCAAATGGCCTGCGCGATCATCGGATCTCACACCCATGGACTATTTTTTATGGGGTCACTTAAAACATGTTGTTTATTCCAACCTTATTGATAATATGGAGAATTTTTGCAGCAGCTAAGGAAATAAAGAATGACATACATATTTTTTAAGAGTTCGTCGTAATTTTAATCGTAGAATTAGACTATGTTTACAGGAAAATGGAAATTACTTCGAATTTACTTTAAAAAATCTTGTTTTTTTTATTATCCGCCAATTGTTTCTCTTAATCTTATTATCTATTGACTGTTGTTAATTGACTCTTGGTTTTAGTTATTATGTTCTTTTTTCTAATAATTTATTATTAAACTAAAAAAAAGGCAGGGTTTAAATAATTTCACATGCACAAGAAAATTTGTTTTTTAATAAAGACACAGAAAAAACAATTAAATAGAAATCATGCAACAAGTGTATTCATACATGCTAAAATAATACGCAAAAAGAGTAAAGTAAATTTAAAACAGGAAAAATAATGTTATCTCAGTTGATTTCTGTGCCCCCTTTTGGTCGAATTTTAAAATACAGAAACACAATTAATGCGTTCGTACTCGACACTCAAAAAGCATTATTATATTATTTTTTCCTTCATTAAAAAACCTCTCTGTTGAAAATTTGAAACATTTCTTTCTAATCAAAATTATAGAAATTATTAAAGAAAAACCATTTTCTATTTTTGATTATGACACCCTGTATCTTTTTTATTATGCGACTTGGGATATAGGTATGTTAGGTTAAATCGACTTATTTTCACCCAAAGAATCTCTGGTATCATTTGTGCCCCTCCATTTAAATACACCCTGTAGAACGCAAAACACCACATTCTTTGTCGGTAATGCAAAACTACCGATCATGCTGAGTTTTTTCAAATTTATTAAAAATATCTCAAACGGTTCATTAACATAAAATGTTAAACTGATTATTTTTTTATTTTAGAAGCTCTATATCTCGAAAATGACCGCCTTGAGACCTGACCCTTATTTATTTAATCAAATTACCTTCATTTTAACAACAGAGGGTCTTTAAATTTTCTACACATAATTAGGAAACTCCCTGTATAACAGATAAATGTTCACAATTTTATAACTGTAATATACGAGTACATGCAAAATAGCTGATAATGTTATTTGCATGTTTATTATTCTGGGAATCAAATAAAATAAAGTCGCTTTCAGGGAACTTATGTATGTTTAATTACAAATACAACTTATTAAAATAATAAATATGGTCATAACTGCTAATAAAGGGAAAACCGAACCGTGCAATATCTCCACAAATAACATGTCAATTTACATACAGGGTAGCCCATCGAAAACGTACCGCAAGGCATTACAGGGTAGTAATGAACTTTTCGGCAAAATCCAAAAACAGGTAAAGTTTGCTTCTGAGGGGGACAACTTTTGCCGCAAAAAGCATAGTAAAATCTTCAACCTCCTAAGTGGGGGTGCCATCCCCCAATTTTTTTTAAATGGGAATGGGGGTCAAGTGGGGGGTCATTAGAAAGGGCTTTTAATTCTCTATACATCGATTCTTACTTTTTGAAAATCGATCCATTATTTTAGAAAATATGCAGCTTTGAAAATACGAACAATATTTTTGACGAGAAATGCGAAAATCGATTTAATTTTACTTCAAAACTTACGGTATTAGCTTGGTAAATTCCTTCAAAAGAATTCGCTGTTTTTTTTTTGATTTGCGAATTCTTTAGCCTGATTTTGGTGAGCAAAAAATTGTCCGCTTTTTGTTTCGTATTTAGATAGGCCACAAGAAGTTGCTAGATAACTGTCTTGTGACTTGTAGTTGAAGAGTACCAATACTGCCGAGTCTTTTAAATTGATTAATTATGGTGTACTCAATTCCAGAAAGAGTAGAAATTATTGAGCTTTTTTTCAAAAACAATGAATGCGGAAATCGGGTCGCCGAACTGTTCAACCAACGGCATCCTGAGAAACATGCGTCTGGAAAAATTGTTCGCGAATTGGTGGCCAAATTTCGCGAAACTGGCTCCGTTCATAACAAAAAGAGGCAGGTTGAAAATCCGGTACTAAATGAACCTACGGAAATAGCGGTATTGGGGCAAGTGGCAATGGATAGTACGCTGAGTACAATGCAATTGGCTACTGCGACAGGAGTGAGTCGTACAAGTGTCCAACGAATATTAAAAAAATACAAATTCCATCCTTATAAGATTCGGCTAGTGCAAGAGCTAAATGAAGACGATTTTGATCGTCGTTTGCAATTTTGCGAAATAATGACTGAACGAGCGATAAACGATAATTTCCTCTTTAATGTGTGTTTTTCGGACGAGTGTACGTTCTTCTTGAATGGTTTAGTGAATCGCCATAATTGTCGTTACTGGGCTGATACCAATCCAAGGATTTTCCATGAGACACACTCCCAACACCCCCAGAAGTTGAATGTATGGGCAGGTATTTTTGGAAATTCCATTGTAGGTCCTTTTTTCCTTCCTGGAAATTTGACAGGCGATATGTACTTGGATTTACTACAAAATGTCATCGACCCAGCTCTAACAAATATCATAGAGGACGACCCTGCTTACAATGAACACGAACTGATTTTCCAGCAAGACGGAGCTCCTCCACATTACTCGCTCAATGTGCGCAATTACCTAAATGAGACGTTTCCAGGACGCTGGATAGGACGAAGAGGTGCAATTGAGTGGCCCCCTCGGTCACCCGACTTAAATCCTTTAGATTTCTTTCTCTGGGGGCACATTAAAAGCAAAGTTTACAGCACTCCACCTGATACCTTGGAAGATCTGCGAGGACGAATCATTAATGTATGTCGCGAAGTAACACCGCAAGTGCTCCAGAATGTTCGACAACGGTTTGAAGACAACCTGTATCATTGTATGCAAGTTGGCGGACAACATTTTCAGCATTTACTTGACTAATACCGTAAGTTTTGAAGTAAAATTAAATCGATTTTCGCATTTCTCGTCAAAAATATTGTTCGTATTTTCAAAGCTGCATATTTTCTAAAATAATGAATCGATTTTCAAAAAGTAAGAATCGATGTATAGAGAATTAAAAGCCCTTTCTAATGACCCCCCACTTGACCCCCATTCCCATTTGAAAAAATTTAGGGGATAGCACCCCCACTTAGGGGGTTGAAGATTTTGGTATGCTTTTTGAGCCAAAAGTTGTCCCCCTCAGAAACAAATTTGACCTGTTTTTGGATTTTGCCGCAAAGCTCTTTACTACCCTGTAACGCCTTGCGGTACGTTTTCGATGGGCTACCCTGTATATTGAACATGAAGTTGGATAACGTACAATGATAAGCGTAATTATCTTTGTTTAACTCTAAATTCGTTTTTCGTTAATAGTCCAATTAAATGGGTCTTGAAATCGCAATTTTGGTGAACTTGCCTAAGTTTTTAATATAATTAGTTTAATAACAATAAATGACAATATGTTTTTTCAACCTTCAGCCATTTGCGAAAAAAAAATTAAATAAAATTTCTTATAAAAATGATTTATTACTGTCACATATTGTTATTGTAAATTCAAGCAAGTTGATCAAAACTGCGATTTAAAGTCCCATTTTATTGGACTAGAATGTATGCAAAAACACAACCGAGATAAGAGCAGAAGGGTACTATTTCTAAAAACACAAACATAATTTTGTCAATAACTTTTGAAGATACCCTGTACATATATTGTCACTGGCTATTGGGATTTCTCATATTATTTACGCTTTTATTTCTTATAAAGATTGTTCGCTAGACTAGATGGAACTTAAAATTATCACTTAAAAGTTATTTTTAAATTCAGAGAACCCCGACATAACAAAATAGACAATACATTAACGTCTTCCCAAGCGGAGATAATTTTTATTACTTTAGTAGAGATAACTTGTAGATAACTTTCATGCTAAAAATATAACCTTCAACATTGTTAAAAAACTGAGTCTTTTGAAATTTTTATAATACTAAATATGGGTACCTACCACATCTCACTTACTTTTGGATTCTCATAATAGAAAAAGTTATATCAAAGGAAACATTAAAAATTTTTCGAAAAACAGACACGATTATAAATTTCTCTTCAAAAAAAAAAGTTTCGAGTTAGTGATCTGCACTGTATTTTTGATTCGCACAAAATTTTCAGTAAGTACAAATGTAGGTACGTGTACTTTTACTAAATTTAAAATTTACATACATGTTTTAACGTTTTCATAAAAATATGGTAGTTACAATAAACGTTAAAATATCTATATTTCTCTTTATGCATATAATTGAACATTATTTAACAATGCACATTAACTAAAACATAAAAAATCTATAAATAGAAGTACTAATTATTCAAGAAAAACGACTGTTAACATTAGTCGACCTTTAGAATAAATACCTGCCGGTTATTCAAGTAAATCAAACGTAAAACTCACCGTTACACTAAAAACGGCCAAAATAACGGCCGCAGAAAACATGGAAGCTGCACTCATACTATCGTCCTCACCATTCGAGATTTGAATATGGAATGGACTTAGGGAACAACATTATTATATTGTTATATTAGCACAGCACACAAATACACGTGTGTCTTTGGGGACCGATTAAGAGGCCTACGTTTCACGGTTAGACCAAATTAACTGGCATTACAAATGCTGGAATTTTATAAGTTCAATTCAAACTTCAACTTAAATTTTTATCTCTCTAAAATTTCAACGAAAAAAGCAAATACGTATTTATTTATAAAATACACATGATACATACCTACCCATTTCTGCTTAAACGCCAAACATAGCCATGTTAAGTCAAGAAACACAATAGATTAAGTAAATATAGATTATTTAATACAATAAGGCATATTAACATAGTGATCTTAATGTGACATGAAGATTTCTCTTTATTTGCTTTTTGTTCGTAACGTAAATCAAATCGCATTTTGCTTGAAATTAGGTATACGATTTTTTAAACTTAAATGAACAAACTCTTTATTAAAATATTATTGCAAATAATTATTTACAACAAATATTGCAAATTCTATAAGTACTACAAAATAGGTACAAATGATTTTAAAGCTGTCTACACCAATTTGACTTCTATTTTACCGTAAACATATTTCCTGCAAGGTGCCGGCTTATATTCGAGAAATTGGCATACCACGGCCATAAAATCCTCAAGAGCTTCATTTTGCAGAGTTTCATTATAGCGATCATTGAAAATTACTGTAGGGATGAATTTTATAGCTGGTTCGACATTTTTGGTTCGAATGCCGTTCTTTTCCAGGAGTATATCGGCTTGACCGCTCTGGAAGCATGTTTGCAGAGATGCCCATGATATATCGCTGCTGTTGGCGCACTAAAATGAAAAAAGAACTCATTATACTTGTTAAATTCAGTAGCTTTGTTCCGAAACAGTTTCCAACAGTCCATGCTGTTTGTCTCGTGATAAATAATGGGTCCATTTCACAAAAACTAATAAATAATTACCTTTTCCAAATTTTCATTGGAGCTAGGATCGACAGATTCCATGCTGCAGTACACAAATTCAGTGCTCTCTTCAATTGAATAAAGACGTATAGCGCACGAATGTATCTTATTCCCATAACATTCACTCGGACCATGCTGGCACACGAATTTCAGTTGCCCACTTGTATTAGTAACCTATGAAAGTAGTATTAATAAAGTTGTAAAAAAAGATTTAGTCTGGATATATTAAAATTAAACCGGTTTTATAAATACTTAAGGTGCCACGCTAGAGACCGTAACACGGAGTCCACTTTTTTTATAACGCTTTCAGTACCGATCAATCAAAGCGATCAAGAATTATGTGTTACCTTTGCATTCCCAAATGGTACTAGATCCACTTTTATATCGTTTCCAATATACTTATACGTGGGAAATAGCTGTTTGTCTATAAACTCGATACTATCTGGGCACAGGGCTTCATAAAACACTGACACTTTCACAGTTTGAACCTAAAAAATCATTAAATAAACCTACTGAGTCACGGGGTAAAAATATCGAGTTTCATTTAACTCACTATTAAGCGTGGTAATAAGATATTTTAACATAAAACAAAAGTACTTACAAATACTTCTTGAAATCCGAATATAAAAATTATTACACTCAAACCGTTCCACATCTTGAAGGCTTCAAAAAAATAATAAACGGTTTAAGTACTCAGGAAAATAACCGTGAAAAAGTGGGCGTCGCTATATGACTTACACGCTGACGCTGTTACATGATAAGAGAACAAAACAGATGCAGTTGTACCGTTTGTGATTAAATAGTTTCAATCGAATGACTCAAATCAGAATTCTTTGTTTTTCATTTCAAATGAAATGAATGAATGTTAACAATACTGGTAATAATACGACGTAACTTTCAGACAATTCTGGACAACAATATTTTATTTTAAAAACCCTAATTACAGTTCGTTTCTCGTTATATTAAAGTACATTTTTGAAGTAGTATTAGCAATACACTGACACCAAGAACAAACTTTCCAGAACCTACTGCTAAATTAGACCCATTAAACTGGCAAAACCCGCATTGGATTTGCTCCAAGAGAAACACCAACGTGTCTTCGAAGTTCGTGAGCGATATGCTTTGAAGTTGTGCACTGAAGACGTCGTTGAAGACTATGGTGGGTACAAAATTGATTATGTCTGGGATCAATTTGTCAGTACGCCTGCCATTAGCTGCAAGAAGTTCGTCAGCTTGGCCGCTGGTGAGGCACTCTTCCAAAACCGTCCAGGAGATGTTGGTAGACGTAGCACACTAAAATAACATCAAAAGTTAAACCAGAAAATTAACAATTAAATTGTTATAAAATTGTTGTAACTCTCTTTTGGTATTCAGCCACTTCATCGATCGATTGAGTGCATCTTATATTAATCCAAAATAACAACAAAATTAAACCTCTAATGATACGCATGAAATGAAAAGTTAATTCGTCGGAACGAGAATGGCCGAATGGTTCATTTCATTATACACTAATGGAAAAAATTAAGAGGTCAAAAAAAAATCTAAATTTTCTGCGATTTTTCAAATGGCTGTACCTTTGATAAAAATGGTCGTATTGGACTAAAAAAAAAGCAATTTGAAGCTTGAAGTTTCTAAGGTTTGGATCTTGCAAAGAAAAAATTTTTCAAGTAACACGTATCGCGCAAACAAAAAAACGGCTTGATGGATCGAATTGAAACTCTGTAGGGCTTTTAGAGGTACAATGACCTGTAAAAAGCACACTTAACGTTAGTCATTTTCCCAATATTCTCAATGTGGCACGTGATTTTCTAGAAGACCCCTAAAAGTCCTATTTTTTTCGATTCTTCAGTCATGTTAAGGATAAAAAAAAATTCTAAAAAACCGTGCCAGGACCTTGTAGAGAATTCATTCAAGTTTCTAAAACCCACCGTCGATTTTCTGTGCAACCATTGGTTTCTGAGATATCGATGAACAAAGAGAAAATGATCCATTTTCATTCAAAGTCCGATAGCTCAGCGAGAAATGGTCGTATCGAGACCAAAAAAAAAAGAAATTGAAGCTAAATGAACAACCTATCTAATCCATAAGATGGTTAAGTTGGAAAAATTTTTTTCAAGTCCGTACACAAAAAATAGTATCGAAAAAAATTTTGAAAAATTTTTTTCATGATATTCATTACGATTGCGCGATACGTGTTACTTGAAAATTTTTTTTTGCAAGGTCCAAAAATTAGAACCTTCAAGCTTCAAATTGCTTTTTTTTTACTCCAATACGACCATTTTTATCAAAGATACAGCCATTTGAAAAATCGCTGAAAATTTAAATTTTTTTGACCCCTTAATTTTTTCCATTAGTGTATTTTTGAATTCACCGGTTTATTAAAAGGTGTTACATAGTATTTCAGACGTTATTTACTCTATTTATCTGTAAAAATTGATAAAAGTAGGTTTTGGAAACTTAAAAAATCTTGTAGATACCTGTCGAAGTATCGATTTATCGGTTATAAATTTGATTATCTAGTGATACTTATCAGCTTTTATTGTTACAAATATAATCTCTTACTTCTTCGTTGTTTGCGTCTGAACTTGCATCTGTGGAATTCATCGAGCATATCACAAACTCTGTACTTTGACTGACGGGGTACAATTCTATGGCACATGAATGTACTTTATTCTCATAGCATTCAAGTTCGCCATGCTGACATTCAAATTCCCAGGATCCCGAGTCATTGCTTGCCTAAAAATTAACAAGAATCAACTGAAATCAAAGCTAGTGAGTTAATTTCGTTTATCAAATGCTTATAAGTATACATTGTTCTTTCTACATTTTTTGTATGCTACTAGTATTAAATCGTAGCATACCCATTTTTATTAAATAATAAAACCAATTATTTTTATGACAATATAAAAACCATTACAAAATTCTTAATACATCATAATCTGTGTTATCAACAGTGAGCTCTAAATGACAAATTAATTTAATTTGAAATATCGCAGCCTTAAAGCAGATTAACGAAAAAAAATGAAACACTCACATTAGCTTTGCCATATGCCACTAGATCGACTTCCATGTTGTCTGCAAGGTTCTGATAGGCCGGATAGAACTGATTGACCAAATATCTTACGCTGTCGGAACATAGCGTTTCATAGTACACGGAAATCTTGATTTTTTGTGCCTAAAAAAGTTGAAAAATGTTCGAACTGAATAACCAAATTGTATTATTTTTATAGTGTATATTAAAAATATTCAATATCAATTAACATACCGAGCTTCCACAAACGCACAGGATTGCAAACATTAGAAGTCCCTTCCACATGTTGTCTTCTCTAGGACAGCCAGCCGACCAACTGAGTATCGATAATTTAATTTATTGTAAACCGTAAAATTTATTACACAGCGTATAAAGAAGATTAAAACTGATCTAGATGAATCGTGGATATGAAACATTAATGAATAATAAAGCACCAGGTAAGGAAATATAACCAGGGAGTGCAGTAAATGAAAAAAAGGGCCACATCCAAATTACTCAACAGACAATATTTTTCACAATCGTATTTTTTGGAAAGAAATGTTTTATAGAGTTCATATTGTTAAAGAAAAATGTATACTGCTCTATTGGACTTGGTAATGTAACTTCCAAAAAATCAGTATGTGCTTAAAGGCAATGATTACTAGATATTGTTCAATAAACTATTATTATTTTTGAATTATTGACGCAATTGCAAAATTCAGCAACCTATTACAATGATTGTTAATTTATTCATTACAATGGGCTATAATTTTTGTATATGTTACGATTATACAGACTCAACCTTTCAGATAAGATGGATCAGTGTATTAATCCTAAAATTTATTGTAGTTATATCAGACATATAGTTTTGATATCTTATTAATCGTATTAATTATGTTTTAGATTATCTGCTTTGGATAAAAAAAATATTTATGTCTAGAATAAAGATTAACATTTTTACAGATAATTACTACGCGAAAAAGGAGTAACATAATTTTTTCTTAAAAATAATAAATAATGGTACTTCTCTCTTGAGTATTTTCGTGCTTTTTTAATTTATGAGCAGCCTGTATATCTAAGCTAAGATGTTTGTTTGACAGTCTCATTTTTTCTACGGGCAGAATTTTTATAGAGTGACATTTTTCGATAAAGTCAAAAACAAAGGAGTTTCTCCTCTTGTCAACTCCATCCGTGGACACACTCTATCACTATTGTATACATTATATTAATAAACTTTATTGTACTTAAATTCTCAAGTTTTTACTAAATTATTTTATTAAAAAAGTAAAAAAAAAATCAAAAATCTTTTTTTTAGCTTTCTTTAAAATTGTTTATTAACGATTTCTCGCATAAAATTTTCCTTTTATATTTTTTAAATAAGCCATTTCGATGAGAAATTCAATTCTCTACAAAATTTTTCCTATATCTATACCGAAATTTTGCTTCGTTTTCGTGCTATATTTAAAAAACTGCCAAAGTGCATTTTCACCCCATCTTCAATTCAATCCTCTAATTTAATAGTACCCCGCGGTTTTTTCATTTTTAATGACCCTTCGAACAAATCTTGTGTGAAAATCCTTGAACGCCTTATTTCATTCCTTTTTTGCAAAAAATGAGAATTATAACGTATTACTTTACAACCTCTTGTTTTGAAGGAAGTTTTATCTACTTTTTTTTTCTATGAAGCAATGCCTATATCTACAATTTTCACCCTCTAATTTAATAGCACTCTGCGGTTTTTTAATCTAAAATGAACCTTTAAACGATTCATGCAATAAAATTCTTTTTAACCCTGCTTTTTTGGATATATTCAATAGCCTATATGTGCCTCTTCAGTCTATCTCTAATTTATCCTATCATACGTATATTGTTGTCAATATTACAATGTATTTTCGTCAAGAAGTTGAGTAATTTGTGTTAATACTAAAATTGTCATTTAAATGTAATACATATATAAAATTCTTCTTTAATTTTTATTGCAGGGAATTTCATTATTTTATTATGAATTTGTATCTTCAAATTCTCCAAATTTTTTTTAATAAATTTGCACCACTTGGTAATAATTCCTTGCGAAATTTTAAAAAATCAGTAATATCTCAGAAAGAGAAACCAATAGACTAGTATTATTTTCACGAAAATGTATTTTCATCTCTTGAAATCTTAAGAAATTAACTGTCACACTTTAATTCCGCAGACAAAAATTCAGCTGCATCTTCTGTAATCCCTGAAAGAAATAGGCGTAAGATACCAAGGCGGATGGGATGTTGATATGACGCCTGACTTGTTTTGGTTACTGAAAAGATAAACTCAAGACAGTAGTTCGAAAAGAGTCCGAAATTTTGTGCTCAAGTCATTCGGGGACAAAAGAGTACATTATAATCGTTTTAATACTGTTTTGAAGTTGAACGTGGTATTCACATAATTCATACTTGCAAGCTTGGTTGCCTACTCCGTATATGCGAAATGAAATTTCCGAAATCAAATCAATTAATAATAAAGCTTGTTGTAAACAAATTAAGTAAAAAATTATGGAAAGTAAAATATAACAAATTGTTTACTGGCCTAAAAAAAATCAACATTGTTATTTCGGCAGGTTCACATGAAATGTTCAAAATGTCATCTATTATTATCAAGGTATAATTATACACAACGTTGAAAATTTTCTTTCACTCTTACCAGGATTTCTGGATTGTTGCAATTATTCGTTCTCGTAGACTTCCATAAATATAAGTCACGCGGATTGAAATCTGGCGATCAGGTGGGTCATACGACTGGACCATTTCGATCAATCCACCAACCAGGAATGTGCTGACTGAACTAGTCTCGAATAATTCAGATATTATGACAAGGACCACCATCATGAGCATACCACATGTTTCGATGAATTTCCAGCGGAACGTATCCAGTAAATCATATACCACATTAAAAAGTTTAAATTCCTTCGGCCATCTGGTATAACGTGTAGTCCAAAAGCCATTCGTTTACTATTCCGTACCAGAATTTACTGAAAATCCTTGAAATACGCAGTTACAAAAATGCTTGGATATTTTTGTGCATTTCTTAGTCGATATATTTGATAATTTTTCAATTTTTACTTTGCTTTGCTGCAATAAGGCACTTTATGTAAATAAGGACACTTGAAAATAGGCAATCTCATAAAAAAACAAATACACATTTCAAATTTATTTAAGCAGTCGATCTTTCACAAAATTTGTATCCGGTGATTTCCTATATGACTACATAATCAGCGCCAGAGGCGATGGCACACTGACTATTTTTGTTGCGAGACATTTTGACGTAGCCTTCAACCCCCCAGTCAGCACCCCAGGAGTTTTTCACCTCCCAATAGTCAATACCATCTGAAGTAGTGCCATAACCAACTATGAGCACCACATGGTTGGTAAAAGTAGTACTGCACCTATCGTTGTCAAACACTCCTCCTCCATAGAGGTACAAGTAACTGGCATCTATAGATACTGAGACTGGACCGATCTTTGCTAAAATCAAAATCAGTAAGGAGCAAATCAAAGATAAATCTGAGCCTGCGAAGAAACAGTAGTCAGAGGTGAGAATATTAACTCACCAACAGCGGCTTTTATAGCATTTTCATCCTGGGGGATGGTAACGATGCCTATATCCTTAAAAAATGTACCGTTAGCTCTACACGCTTTGTCTGCTGCTTCATACGGATAGCTTTTATCGGTTACCATTCCAATATCTCTAACACTACGATATGCGTTAAGTGTCCAACCTCCAGAGCATCCGTTGTTCATCATAGAGCAATCTATTAAGAATTGTTCACTAAAACTCTCTAATTTGCCAGTTTTCAGGAAGTATTGGCCTTCCAAAACACCAGTCTAAAAGAAAATGTCATCATACAGTCACAACAGTGAAATATATAAACAAAAGTCTATAACATAATCATCATTTTTAACTACAGCACCAGTTACAAGTCATAACAGATTAAAAAAAGGCAAAAATATGATAGTGAATGAAGATACTCAAAAAAAGATTTAGTACTAATGTGGCACTGTTGTGGAAACTGATTTGGTGCATCAGATATGCTAAATATATTCGTTTTCTTTCACTAGAATTGTATATTTGACTTTAAGTAGATAAGTTTAATCAAGAAAACTCATCAGTTACATTGAAGGTAAACTTGATCAAAACTTACTGCACCAAATGCCCAACATCCTCCGCAATTTCCTTGGTCTTTAACACCCGTGACTGCCCCTTTGTCCCTCCAATCTAGCTCATCTGGAACATCGGTATCATCAAAATTACCAAAAACCGGTGTTGGGTGAGCAATTTCTACGGCTGGTCGTGGGTTCAATCTGGCTTTGAACTCCTCTTCCGTCAAGTCAGCGAATTTATTCACAGCTAGTTTGTAGGACACCTCCCCACGGGCAAACCTCCGATTGTGTTCTTCAATTTTGTAAACATTATCTTTGAATATCTGGAAGCGAGTGGATTCTTCCAACCGGCTTCTATAGTGCTTTCCAACGTTATCCTTAAATTAAAAATAAGTATAAGTTTGAACAAGTTGATACAGTCAATAGTAACTAATATTTAAATTGTTCCCATAAGAATGTTTGTAAATACCTTAAATGATTGCCACTGCTCCTCGATAGAAGTACCCTTTACTACCAAAATGGTACAGATGAAAACTATAAATATCCTCATAGCAGTGAATTCCTAACCAGCAGATAATAAGGACATTAATTGAATTAAACTTAGAAATCACAACTTTTTATTAAACATCCTTATCGTGCTATTTATCAAAACACGATAAACTGTTGATATGAATCGTTATTGGTTTGTTATAAGATGATTGTAACCTAACAATGACGGAATGTTATTTAACATTTTTTAATAATGACGTGTGTACTTATTTTTTAATTTATCGCTATCTTGAATATTAAATATTTTTGTTAATTTTCTTTAATTCGTAAGCGTTGTTTCATTTTTACTAATGGATATCTACGTCATGTACATATTTACTTATTATGACCACAAATAGAAAAATCAACTGGAGGCATATCTGGTGAACGTGCAGCCCAAGAAATCGCCCCTCCCTCTTCCATCCATTTGGAAATTGTGCATTTAGATAATTTCAGCAAATTAATCTAAAGTGTGCTGAAAAACAATATTTCTTCGAATATTAAACATTTTCAAGCTATTTGATAATGTTCCAGAAAAATCTTATACCGTGTTTAAATGATATGATGATAAAAATCATAAACTGGCGCGTTGAGTACCCGCTGAACCGGCGCGGCGGGTGTGACGTCACCGCATGGGAAACCACCACGGGTAGTAGGGTTTTAGTTATCTGTTATGTTTTGATTGAGTACTTTAGGATTCAGCAATATGGAAGACACAGTCTAGATTTTCGTGGGCAGTAAAAAATGTGAAAAAAGACGTAAATTTGCTACTTATTTGCAATTTGACAACCTACTACATACCTTTCCCCATCATAAAGTGAAATAAAATGTCAACTCATAATTTCTTTGGATTGTAATATTGAAAGGAAAGGAACATTACAACTGAATATTAATTGTTTCATTTATTTAGCATTAAATTACGTACGAGTAGACATTTATTTATCTAGTATTGGATATATGGCACCATCAGCAACACCACACTGATTTCCAGTATTTCTTGCAAGTCTCATGAAACCTTCTTCACCCCAACTCGCGCCGTAAGACATCTTCACAGTCCAATAGTCTTCTCCTTCATCGGAAGTACCATACCCAACAATAACACCAGAGTATGACTGACCTAACTGACAGTCGGGATCATTGTATATTCCACCAGAATAAGAGTCCAAACTTTGTCCTTTAAAAGTCACTCCCACCGGCCCAATTGTACCTATAATTAGATATTATTTGAATGAATGCATCCTAATAAATAATTACATGCTTACCAACCACAGTTTTGATCACCTCTTCGTCTCTAGCCAATATTACGTAACCTATTGTTCTGAAAAGGCTATGGGAACTGTTAATTTTGCAAGTTCCTGCAGTGCCTGAGTAGGGATAATCTTCTTCCAGTACAACACCTCTCATCCTAACAAAATCTATAGAGTTTAAAAGTCCTCCACCATTGCATCCATTGTTGAAACCAAGAGAACAATCCAAAACGTATTGTTCACTTAAATCTAAAGTTTCACCAGTCTTCAGGTAATGGTGACTTGCAATGACATCAAGCTGTAGAAGAAGATATTAGTTTTTGCAATGTAAATTTTAGTGGTACTTACAGCGGCAAAGTAAAAACTGCCATCGCAGCTCAATTGGTCTTTTACTTTCGTAACGAGACCTTTGTCCCTCCAATCAAATTGCTCGGGAACTTCAATAGAAGTTACACCGAGAATAAGTAATACGTAAGCTAATATCGAGAAGGGTGTCATTTCCAGTTATGTTCTGCAACTTAAATTAATATACTAATAATAAAATAAATAGAATATATACTCAACTGATTTGATACTTTTGACTGATTGAGAAAATGTAAAGGGCCCATATCAGTAAAAACAATACGTTGTTGAAAATAACAAAACCTACTTAAATATTGTCACATTGTTACGTAGGTATTAGATTATGCTTTCAAACTGAAGTATGAATAGTTTAAAAATCACCTTCTGATAAATTAAATTTCAAATTGTGTCTCCGGATGGGGTACCGCATTCTTGTAAACTTTTTTGCTGTTAATTTTTTGAAAAAAAGTTATTCCTGATAGAATGTTTTGGATTAATCAAGTATGTAATATAACATAAAGGGCATAATTTTTCAATATATGGTATGTAAACTTTTTTATTTTCTAGAAAACATTATTTCTGATAGAATGTTTTGCTTATCTTGGGAAGCCGTGGGCTGTAATCATATATGCAATAAAACATACAGGGCATCCAAATAATTTTAAAATGTGAAATTTTCCCTCAACAAAATGCTTTTAATTTTTATATTTAACAAAGTTGTTCGAGAACATTAACATTTCATAAGATGAATTCGTTGCTCCAGGGTTAGCATTATTAATAAAAATTATTCGTAGGGCAGTTAATAAAAATAAATATGTTGACCATGATAGATAGTAGTGTAAGATAGTTAAAAATTGATTATTGTGCTTTTCTGACTAAACCCCGTATTTAAGCATTTCTTAAGTTCGCTAACAACTTCGTTAAATACAGTTTTTAAATAATAATACGTCACAGACTTGCAATTAGTTCTGGGCCACTGGCAAATTTTTAGTCTGGATTGGAATATGGTTGTCTCACAATCTTAATGATTTGGTTGAGGTAAGTTTCATTTATTTTTCTTACTACAAATAAAAGCAGCTTGCTTTCCTTACTCATTGTGGCAACTAAATTTACCCCTTCTCTATTTTTGTAAATTGAATTGTGAAATTCAAGTTGTGGCAAAAGTTATAATTTTTTATATCTCTTATTATATTTGTTATACCACATTACATATACAGGGATGGCCAGAAGTACGGAATAAAATTCATATCTTTTGAATTAATTAATTTTTTTTAAACGACGAAACACTTTAACTGATTTTGATTTTTTTCCATCTTTCGGTTATATAATAATTAATTTTTCTTCAACCCCCTAACCCTCAGCTACCCTTACTTTTTTTCAAATGGAAACATAAGGCATGAGGGGGCTCGTTGAAAAGCTTATAGAAAACCGAATCCAGCCATACCAAATAAACAAGTTTTATTTTTTCAATAGCAAGGTTTTTAGGGTTGTATAAAACACCTACTTAACAAGTGAAATAAAATTTAATTATCTTCAGTGTTATCCTCCATGAATTTGCACAGAATAAAATAAGGAATTTGAAACTGTACCTATCACTGCTAACGCAAAAAAGATATATTTTTTATGATGCGTTTTTTTGGTACCACTTACTTGCCAGGCTTTCTGGTTAATTTTTCGCTTTAGTTGTAAATTGGAGTTCGAAACGTTACTATTGTGTCAAAATCAAGTTATTTACTGAATTGCAATGGTATTGTCGGAAAGGCAACGCATCGAAATCTTGATATTGCTTGGATGTGGAGACAAAATAAGAAGTCACGCTGAAGTGCGCGATTTATTTAATGCGAAATATCCCGAAAACCAAATCTGGCAATCACGATGCTTCTCGAACTGCAATTCGAATATTTCTGAAACAAGAGGGATACCACCCCTATAAGGTATGTCTTGTCCAAGAGCTTTTGGAAGATTATTATGATAGGCGCTTACAATTTTGTGAGGAAATGATGAGACGGTGTGACAACAATAATGGTTTTCAACGAGACGTACTTTTTTCGGATGAAGCTACGTTTTATTTAAATGGAGTGGTTAACAGGCACAACTATCGCTTTTGGTCCCAGGAAAATCCACACTGGACATGCGAATCGCATACGCAGCATCCACAAAAAGTTAATGTATGGTCAGGTATCATCAACAACATAATTTTGGGCCCATTCTCTTTTGAAGAAAATCTTACTGCCGCACGCTACCTGGATTTCCTAACATTTGACCTGATACACGCCCTAACTGTGATTTTCCCTCATGAAATTGATCCAGATATACCGAATGAAAGAATTTGGTTCCAACAAGATGGCGCTCTCCCACATTTTGGTATTGATGTTCGAAGATAAGAACATTTACCTTTAGACCCTAAGAAAAATATAAAACAATGTACAAGTACATTCAACTCTCTTTGACAATGGAAAGTTGAGTACAATGAAAAATATTGAAGAAGCGGACAAACTAACAAACTGTCCAATGGAAACCTATTGCAAAACAGACAGAGATTTGAATATTTGACAAAAATCGGTTAGTATAAAAGTGAGAGGAGAACTATTATACCTGTACTTTGACGAAATATGATATAAAACAAAAGCAATATCAAATAAAGGAAAAATAATAACAAAAATACATGCTAATATGAAGATAACTAAATGCCTTATACAAATTTATTGATAATATCAGTTCAAAACAACCTCTCAATAAATAGGACATTCTCGAAATACAATAACTCTAATTTGTCATATACGAATATGTATCCATATCGAAAAATGAAGTAACATAACATATATCTTATCGTAGTAAACACTCATTAAGAAATGTCAGGTACAATGACTTAAAGATCAAACTGAAATTACAGTCAATCTACAAAATCAGTGCCTACTAGCACTTTGTTAGGTATTGTAATATGGGTGGCAAGATAATGCAGACATTCAAAAAATATTTTCTTGTACCCAAACCGCTCATTTAATCAAAATTCTACAAGAGTTTCAAAAACTTCCAAATGGCATCACGTATCAAATTAAAAATAGTTGTCATTATTGCCCGAAAGAGGAAAAAGTTATGAACGGATATTATCACTACACGTCAATTTTGTAGGAGTTGTAGGTTTTAAAAAATACTCTGTATAACACCAAAATGTTTAGATCGGAAACAAAAGTTCAAACCCCAAAAATTATCAAAATCGATACGGTTATTTACAAAATTCAAAAAATTTTCACTAACTTTGCCAAACGAAGCGATTTGGGATATAAGTGTTAGAGATTAAAAGATTAAAGATTAAGATTAAAAGTGTTCTTTCTAGGTAAGCAAAATATATCTAACACCACAGACAACACTCCTAAACTCATGCTATTTCCGTAACTAAATTGTTCAAGTGTCTTCGCTGAAGACATAAAGAAAATACATTATGTTTATGTTTTTTTAAAATTTAATAATAACATTTCTTCACAATGCCACAATAAAACTGCAATATAAACCTAGAAGTGAAATGCAATCGTCTGTTCCTTAAACCCTCGGAAAGCTAGCATAGGTGGCGATTCCACATTTATTCCCTTCGTCTTTAGCTACCTTGAAGTACCCATCCAACCCCCAGGTTGTCCCGTAGGAGTTCTTCACCAGCCAGAATTTCCTGCCGTCGGCCTCCTGTCCATAGCCAACTATGAGTACAGCGTGGTTTAGGTCGTCGGGTGTGTTACCACACTTTGGGTCGTCGAAGATTTTATCACCGTAGAATTGGAAATTTTCGGTAACATGGATGGCGGTGGATATGGGTCCAAACTTGGCCAGAGCCTGGGCCAAGGCCTCTTCATCGCCTTTCGGAATTCTGATGTAACCTGAAAATGTTTAGGATCGTTTATCTGCACACTTTATGAGAGCGATCAAAGACTTCAAATTTCAATCCTTTCTAGATTTGAAGAATTACCAAATAAAAGTCAGTTATAGCTCTAGTAAGTACGTTATACAATTGCAGTTAGATAATATACCCAATATTTTGTCAATTAAGAAGTCCTAGGGCTGCTATAATCGTTAAATAAAGGCAAAGAGGTCAGTCAAACTGTCGAAAATATCTCGTTTTTTGCCAAAATTTAGTTCAGTAAACAAAGTTTGAAGTTGAATGTTAGAGCTTCATTTTCAAAATGGCGTCCAAAATTCATGTCTTTAGAACAAGTACTTAATATATCTCACTTTGTGTTTTAATAATTGTATTATTCTTGGGCCTACAGGCATCATCAACTGCCTCGTATGGGTATTCCGAATAGCTGTTGACTCCATTGTCCTGAACGAAATCAAAACCAGCTTCGGTGAAGCCTCCGCGACATCCTTCATTGCCATATCGGCCGGTAGCACAGTCTATCAGATGCTGAATGCTGACTTCCTCCAATTTTCCTGTCTTCCTGGCGATCTGGCCTTCCACACAACCAGCCTAGGAAAAAAGGAAAGTCGTTTTAACTGACAACCATTAGCCTTGATCGTGGAAGCAATTTCAACTATGACATTATAAAAATTCCATATTTTCTAATATTAAGAATTTTGGGAACAACTAACATGTATTTAACAGTTTAAGAAGACGAGACAGACATTTTGAAATATAAATTCAATATATATCATTATAAATAAAGTATGATTAAAAGTATTAAATATTTTTATTCTTCATTTCATTGTTCAAATAGTTAGAAATTATAACAAATTAATTGAAAAAATTATTGTCACTGGTAGGAATTTTCGTCAAAATTAAACATTTTTTTAACTTTAAACCAATAAAGCAATTATTATTATAAATTTTCTTATAGGTAACAGCATCTGTGTATATAATTCACCAGCAGACCAAAGGAACAAATTTCTTGAATTTTTTGATAATATTCTAAATGGCGATACTTTCGTTTCTAAGAAAGTTATCATTTTAGGAGATTTTAACATAAATTATAAAATTAAAGACAATATATATACTCGTAAACTTATAGACATAATAGAGTCAAATGGTTATAAACAAATAAGGGAAGAAGATACCAGAATAACGAAAACATCGTCATCATTAATTGATTTAATTGTAACAAATTGTCATTATTTAAAGCCTTTAGATAGAAACTTCACAAACATTACTGATCATGAGATAATAGGAACAAGAATTGAAAGTGATGGAACATATGAAAACCAGATTATATATAAAAGAGATATTAGCGAAGAAAACCTACATAAGATAAAAATGAGGTTGATAGAAAATGATTTGGCATATTCTACTTCTGTTACAGACATTGCTTATAAAGTGCTAAGTGATAACATAAATAATGCAATAAATGAGTTTGCTCCTCAGAAGAAGATTATAGTTGATTCCGCAAAGCCATGGTTCAATTTAGAGATTAAAGAAATCCTAAAAGAAAGAGACAGGGCATATAAGAAGTTCTGTTTTACTAAAATTGTGGAAGATTGGAAAATATATAAGGAAAAACGAAACAAAGCAGTTGACACTATACGTAGAACAAAAAAGAACTATTACAATCAGAAAATAGATTCCAATAGGGGAGACTCGAAAAAAATGTGGAAGACCTTAAAGACATTAATAAATAACCAGTAGTAAATTGGAATGATATAAATTTTGAGTTAGACATAGGTAACATTGTTGGAAATTTTAACAAATTTTATGTAGATAGTATACAAAACATAGTAGATACAATTGATACTCCTGCAGAAGAATATAATGTTATAATAAATTCGTCCTCATCTTCAGAGTTTTCACAGTTCAAAAAAATATCTTTAAACCAACGGCGTAAAATTGTGTTTAATTTCAAAAACAAAGCAGTAAGTGATCCAGTATTAAATGTACATTTATTGAAGTCTCTATTTGATGTGATTGGTTATCCTTTATTAAATTTGATAAACACTGTTCTGCAAATAGGAAAAATGCCTTCAGAGTTAAAAGTGAGTACAATAATACCAGTGCCAAAAATTAAATATTCAAAAAATCCAAGCGATTATCGTCCGATAAATTTACTATTCATTCTGGATAAAATCATCGAAACTGTAGTGTGTGACCAATTAAACGAATATCTTGTGAGTAATAACTTATTGTATGCTGGTCAGTCTGGTTTTAGAAAAAAACATTCGTGTAAGTCTGCAATTCAGTTGGTATGTGCCAAGTGGAGGAAGAATTTAAGTGAGAGCGATATCATTATAAGTGTGTTTGTTGATCTTCGTAGAGCCTTTGAAACTATAGATAGAGACATGCTTATTCAAAAACTGAGCAGATATTGTGTAAGAGGTACGGTAATAAGCTGGTTTACTGATTTTCTTAGTAGCCGCCGACAGAAAACAAAAATTAAAAATAAAACATCTCAGACAGCAGAAAGTGTGTATGGTGTACCTCAAGGTAGTGTATTGGGACCGCAGTTATTTTTAGTTTATGTAAATGTGATCAAAGTTGACCGGTATTTGTGGCGTAACTACGAGGTCTGAGGGCTGTTTTTTAAACAAATACCTTTGTCATTCCGACTACTTTCCGGGAGTGAATTTGCAAAACTTGCGCCCTTGTGCAACCCATATAAAATGTCGATTGAAACTATTGGACTGAGCGTGAAATTCATGAAAAATGTATGGGAGGTAGTGGTGGGGACTCGAAATTGAAATCGCGCGTTCAAAATAGCGGCGCGCTAAAAAGTTTTGATTGTCTCGGCTTCTAGTGGTCCGATTTTGATGTTTTTTTTTAAATCGATTTTAATATTCTTATTTTTTAATGTTTTATCTTAAATTGCTACTTACAATTATTTTATATTTGTATTTTTGTATTCCACCTGTTGATAACAAATAATACAACAAAATGAGTTTATCAGACTGTCATCTTACCACTGAAAAAGCCCAGCATGCTTGACACTGATGTTGGTTCTTCACAGGGCTAACGGCCCCCTTCTCCCTCCAGTCCACGCTTTCCGGGATGGATTCTCCAGGTTCGGGCAGAAAAGTTCCCGCCTTAGAAGACAGTGAGAGACGTCGCAGTTGGCCGTTTCTATTGAAGCCGTTGAGCACCTTGTTGAACTCGTCGAAAAGCATATCCCCGAATTCGTTCATCTTCAATCCGAAGTTAAGGACGCCATCAGAAGTTAGTTTTATGATGGTATGTGTGTTTTGAATGAAGTTGGCCATGCGATAGGATGTCTCGTTAGGGCTGTACTTTTTGTTGAATTTTGTCTATAAGAATAACACACTGTCAAAATGCGTAGTCCATATTAAAATGTCCATCCTTATTTTTTATGTATTATTTATCTTGAAAATGTAAAGGGAAAATTTAGGGCACCGTACATTTATATTAGAAGTTAGCCCTCAAGTTTGTTGCATAAGTCCTTAATGCGCTGTCTTGCATTAAAAATGTATTGCTTCATAAATTATTAAAGTAAATGTTTCGTAAGTACATACTATTATTAGTCCAGTCAGGTTAAACAAAAAAAAGGACTTAACCGGGAAAAAATTAGGGATCACAATTTTATTGTTCTAACCTTTAGGGGGGGTAAATGTTGGTAGTAGCGAAAAAATCAAAGGGATCAAAATTGTAGAAAATATAATTCTTTCCAATAACAAACGAGATAATTCAATAATTATACTTTGTCAGTATTTTCCCCCTTAACTTGAAAAATATCGATCGCACGATAAAATTTGTATATAAATAAGTTGTAGAAAATCGCATTTGCAACAACTTAAGTCATTACCATTTTTGTTGTAAAATTGAAAATGGCCGAGATATTGAGCAAAAACGATTTTTCCTTAAATTCAAGATGGCGGCTGATGCAGGGGTGGAATTCAGTCGCGACTATGAATTTACACTACTATTGACCCCCCCCCTAAAGGTTAGAACAATAAAATTGTGGTCCCTAATTTTTTCCCGGTTAAATGACAACCCGACTGGGCTATATACGTTTCTTAGCACACTTACCCCGAAATCAAGCCAGTCTTGTAAAAACACCTTCTCCAATTGTTCCAAATTTGCTACTCCCGGTAGTCCTTGAACAGGACTCGTAACATTTCTTACAGTTTTTATTCCCCTACGAGAAAAATCAAGCTGGCTTTGGACCGAATAAAACAAGCAACCCAGGATTAAACAGAAAATCTTCATGGTTCCTGCAAATAAAAAAGTTTAACGTGTAATGGATAAAAATACATTTTACAAGGATTTTTATCAGACTCTAACGTATTTAAATTTTGTGTCTTATTTGAAAATGTTGAAAATAGCCCAATTAATGTTTTGCAAAAAGTTACTCTCATCCTATGTGAAGGTTGTATATTACAGCTTCTTTTTATTTTTCTGTGATTAAACGGCTTTAATTCTTACCTGAATTTTTTCATACTGCGATTATTTTGTTGTAATCACAATTTAAAAGCAATCAACAAAGCTTTTGTTTACTTTTTATTATTTTTTATGTTTTCCTAATGCTGTTCTTTAGGCATTCTTAAAATTAAGGTAATATTGGTTGCCTACAATTAAAAGGATTTAAAATATACAGTAAATCGGTAAAACGAGGCAGTCTCGAATCGAACGGCCGAAACGAACCGAGCGATATCTAGATTTTCCATTTTTTTTTTTTCAAGTAATTAAGTTTATTGTTATCATTATTACTGTGAACATTTCCCATTTTTCCCTATCTTATCGGGTTCGATTGCCGAAATCGGTTTTGCCCAAAGGTGAATCCTTTAATTTTCTGTTAATTTATCGTTTATACAGTCCGCTATTCGCCGAAACAACTATTAATATCAAATCAAGTTTTAATGAATGCACATTTTTTGTCTATTCTACGTCAAATTACATACGAGTGTCATATGCATATGCATTTTATGCAAATTTAAACAAGAATGTCATTTGTTACACAATAAGTTTTATATAGCTATTACTTATTTAATATTATTTAATTAAGGAAACCTTTAAAAAAAATAAACAATCTTTTCTCAAATGAATACCGCAACGTTATGAATAAATTATCAGCAGGACCTGGAAAAAGGTCGAAGGTAACAAGACTCGACAGAAGAATATGGATTAATAATCAGAATAGTAAGTAATATTTTTTTAATTTAATTATCAATTAAATTACTAGAAAGACGTATTATTATGTTACAAATACATAAAACATTAAATTTATCACAAAATTGTAACCAATTTAGTTTTCTATATGAACAAATATATAAAGTTAATATAAACTTTTACAACGTAAAACAGAGGTGATGTTTAATTTCTTGTATCCCTCTTGGGACATTTGTGACATTTTGAATTGATTTTTGCATGTTCATTTAGATGTTTTAGTATGATTATTTCACTCAATGCACCATAATCAACAATAACAAAGCAATGTCGCATTTTGAAGAATTTTTTGGCCAGTTACATTATTATTATACTGAAATCCCGATCTACTGAACTCTTATCAACAGTAAAATCACAAGAGGTTTTCTTTTTATAGGATAAATTTCTCTTTGTAACAAAATAATTTTGCCAGTCAATAATTCTAAGAGAAAAACTGACATGAAAAAATCGCGAGATCGAAGGTCGAGCGATTTTGTCAAATGCCAGTTTTTCGAGCAAGATTACTGGTTGGTAAAATTTTTATTTAAAAAGAAATTTACCCATGAAATGAAAAGCTCGCGCGGTTTTTAGCAAAATAAATTAACGATCAAATATGTGAATGAACAACAAAAATAAATATCTTTATTTATTCTATGTGAACGAATAACAAGCATTATCCTTATTTATTCAAATTATTTGAAGGAACAGTTATCATAAATTGTTTGATTTGTGTCCCGTCATCTTCATCAGTTGCTGGTCATTTACCTCTGCTTTGGTTAAGTGAGAAAATGTACTGGCTCGGTTTAAATGGTTGGTATCACTACGTTCGTCAGACATACTTTCCATTATAAGCACATAAAGTATCACTTATTCTCCTAACATCATAATATACTATTATCGAGCTTATTTTGTGTTATCCATTTGCTGTCTGTCAATTTTTTCGATCCGCCTTGTGCTGTCTTTGAACATATTGAATTGTATTCGATTCTTCCTTTTGGGATTCTACCTTGATTTTTTTCACTTTTAAAATGGTAAATTTTACAGTTTGTAGCCTCTCCTCCCTTCCAAGTCAATTCATAAGAAGTTATATGAAAGAATCTTTTTTGTAATCCCTCTGGTTCATTATATTCCACAATTTTGCCATTCTTAGAATATTTTCGTTATCTTTTGCTACTTCTACCTTTCTTTTCTCTGGAATACCTTGTAATTCCTTTCTCTTAATGTTTCTTGCATCATGATCTCCTTTAAAAGTTATGTCGGTAAAAGGATCAAATGTTATATTTAATGAAATATTTTTCTTGAATCATCTTTGCAGTTGAATTCCAGATTGTTTTAACTGCATATTCTATGTAATCTTCACTAATTTTCCTATTGGAGTTATTTCTGACAGTTCGTAATTTCGAATTTGACAAAACTCCATAAATTGTCTCTATATCGACGTGCTTTTTGTGGATTGTGGAATTGGTTTTTCTATGTTTTTTCTAATTTGTTCGGTCGAAATTTTTCCAAAACGATTCATATTATAAGTTACGCACTTTTTATCGTTGTCAAAGTGACAAAAACGTCACTATTATATACTAGTACATATTTTTATATGGGAGTTAATTGGCTCTTTTCGCGAGTGAAGTCGTATGTTGTAGTATGTATAGTATGAGTGAGTGATGAGATTTAAACTACTATATGACAACTAAGATCAAAAGAGATAAAAATAGGAACTACAAGTCAGATATTCACCAATATTCAGTCGCGATAAAAAATCACCTAACTGAATTAAATTTTGAAATATAACAGTAACAGTTCCTGAAACATTTTTGTCAAAGATCATTCGTGACATTGCTCTTGTCAAAATGTTTATCTTGGTTTTACTTCCAAAAGAAAAAACAAAAAGATTACACTCGTGATTTTATCAGGACAAACAAAAGTTTTAAATAAATTTTTCCGACCAAACCATATGATATTATGTAGGTTAAAAATGATCAATTTGATTAATAAAAACAGATACTTATATTTTTCTTAGTACTAACAACCCTGAAATAGTGACAAATTTAATTTATAGTTTTCCAAAATGTTATAAAAATTATTTATTTATGAAAAAATTCATAATTTAATGGGAAAAGAGAATTTGCAAAACAGAGAAGTACTATTTTGTTTTGAATAAACATGTCACGTAGTTTTTAATTTTTTTTTTTTTTTAATAATTGAAAATGTTGACCCAATCTATAAATGTTTATCCTGTAAGCTTAAATTAAGGAAATAAGAAAAAAAATCAGTATTATATTACAGAAAAATATTATTTGAATATTTCGTATACAATAAGGAAACGCAAATAAATTACATTCTAAATTAACAATTTTCAAATCTTTTCATACAAATTCTAGAATAGTTTTTTAACAAACGATTCGAGATTTAAAATATATTGGGCTTACCGGGATGTTGATGATTACAAGACCGAGTAACCACTGAAAAATTGAGATTAAACTTTTCTATTTGAATCTTTTCGCAAAAAATTACATCAAGGTAGTCCGGTAGATCTCCAATTCGGGGGGTTTGAAAGGTGAACTAGCGAAATAAATTTATTTTTGTCCAAAGCAGGTTAGGTTAGGTCCGACAGTAATAAAAAATACAATAATAGATACAATACGGTTGCAAATCTTATAATCAAAAAAAAAATTGCATAAAGTAATATGTTAATATTAAATTTTAGACCTCGGAAGACACTCAAATTCTATTTGCTTGGAGTATTTTCTCCACAAGAGTAGTTGAGTAAAAAATGTAAAGCATATTGTTCTTTCACACCACATGACGTAAATCAATATGACTGAACCCTATAGTATAGAGGAAAAAGATAATAGTTGATAGTATCATTGAAAAAAAGAATCTCATTCAGAACGATATATGTACATATAATAAACTATTTTCTTTATTCTTGACTTGAAGTACCTTAAAACAGTATTTAATTGTAATAGCAAAAATGTCATGGACATCCTCAATTTGAATATTCATTTATTCAAGAAAAACCATATTCTATGGACGTATATAATAATAACGTCTATTAAAACAAAAAAAAGGACGACATTTAGCAAGGTGACCAACTCCTCAAACAAAAAAAAAATTGTCAAACAGGTGAAGATGTGTACCTGGCCTAGTTAGGTACTTTATTTAAATTTATATTTTGTTTGGCTGTGAATAGCTTTTAACGCTTTTTCGATTTGAAATAAATATCTATAAAACAGGTAAAATTATTATGACATATTGTTATAATTATAGACTTTACTGTCTCTACATTAAATTCAGTTTCTGAAATTTATTTCAGGTTATATAGCGAATCGAATACTATTGAAAACGCCATTCCGGTACAAATCGGTACGAAACAAATAAATCTGGTACAATTCCGGCACACTTTATTTCCCGAAAAACGTTCTAAAAACTGGAACCTGTGCCGGCCAATCCGGTACGGTTGGTCACCTTGCATTTAGATGTATTTAAGGCAGATGTACATGTATATGTTATGGACCAAGTGATAAATCGGGCATTATACATATTGTCCATCGCCTTTTGGGCAGAGTAATACAAACATATTTAATTACTATTTTTTTATTATTATTGTCATTTAACTTAAAATAAACTAAATGTTAAACAATTTATATAATCAGACTCATTATTTGGATTAATTAGCAAGGGCTTCTACATTAAGAATCCACTAGTTTCTGCATTTAAAACTTACGGAAAGTCATATTAAAAATATAGGTAACACAAAACATATAAAATTTAAAACAAACATTTCTCAACATATCTTTGTTTTATAGAAGTTTTGACATATTATTATAAAACATAAAATAAACTAAAGTTTAAGCAATCAGACTCATTATTTGGCATAATTAGCATCTAATAGTCAAATTGCCCAATTGTCACGTAGCAATATAATAATGACCGTGCAATGTGATAAATAATGAAGTTTAGATAGTAATTAATCACTTAGCCCGATAGACATTATTCATAATGCTCGCACATTATTAATAATGCCCGCATTAATCACCTGGTCCATAACATATACACCAAAACAAAATAGATCCAGAACAGATCCATTAATTATGAATTATACACCAAAAATAGGGTAAAACCATATATCCGAAGAATACCATATTGGAATTTATGAAACAGTCCTAAAGATTAACTTTGGCATATACATAATGACGTCTTTTTCTAAGTTAACTTTGACAAAGAACAAACGCCATTTACTTTTGACAGTCGTAGGTCGAAGAGAAGAAAACCTCTTCGCAAGGTGGAAATGTTTTCATATGAACTTTTTTTATGGAAACTAACAGAAAATGTGATTAGTATTTATGTGTAGAATTAAACCTGAGCCGCTGTAAAAGGTTTCATGTATCGTTTAAGTGTCTGACAGATTATTGCTCCGTCAGCATTTGTAAATTTCTAGTTTTATAAGTAAGTTTCATAACATTCATAAACTGTATATAGACTCCAACCCAAATTCAAATTTCAGTCGTTTAGTTTCAGAAACAGATAAAGACTGTTTGAAAAGTGAAAAGAGAGTAGTAGCAAAGACAGTGAATAGACAGACATACAAAAAATTAAGCTAAATGATGTAATTTAACTACAATTTTCAAAATTAAGTAAAGTTTGGTTATAGTTTAAAAGTTAACCTAGAAATAAGTTACTGGTATCAAAAATTGTAGAAAAATTCAAGGAATCAGAATATGCAAAGATCATGCAGTTTAAAATATGCAGAAAGTCAATATTTTCAAAATTAAAATTCTCAAAAGTTTGTTATAACATTTCTGTAGCAACATTTGTTTTGTTTTTACTTCAATAAAACCAAAATCCGACCTCATCGTAGCAAGTCTCTCATAAAATCCTGATGCAGTTTGCTCCTAAAATAACAAATGAAGAAAATCAATTAAAATCAATAAGTTTGTGGAAATTTATTTATCCAGTCATCTATGAGGAGAAACGTCATTGACAGATAGTAGTGTCAAAATTTCGAATCACCCAGTGTTAATATAATGACTGAAAGTCCATGAACATTAATATCATTTAATAAAAGTGCAACACAAATTCTGAACTGATTATAAAATTAGAAAATTAGACAAAGTAAAAAATAATAAAAATTGTAATGCATTTGTGGTTGGAATCATCACGACAAAGAACAAGCAGAACGAATTTCCAGATATCAACGTGGGATTCTACGACCAATACCAACTAAGAAACCCATTGATATTCCAAATTGGAGATATGTAACCAGCGAAACCACACAATGCATTGTAAGCTGTCTATACATTGGCCAATTTAAGTTTGCAAACTTTGAATCGAATAATACATCAATTCGTAAAATTTCAAGCATATGCATATGACAAAAAACATATTTTCCAAACATTGACATGTCAACAGTACAAAAACAAATCATAGCACTGTAACATTAGTTTCAAAAGGGGGAAATTTTATGTTATTGTTTATTTAGAATAAGAAAAAAGGTTGTCAATTATAAAATCACAATTTTGCGGTTATATCTCACTTACACTCAAGAATACTTTATTACCGCATTCATATAGAAGATGATATTCGTTAAGCAAAATCATTTTACTTCAGTTTATTTTTAATATTATCAATAAAAAATTGTTCTGTTGAACTGATTATTAAGGAAGTTAGTCCAGATTTAATTAGCTCATTGACTGAATTACGAGAATAATAAAATTGACGCTAGACACGGAAATAATTGTATCGTCGATGGAGTCTTCAGATTGTTTATGGCTGTAGAAAAAATAAAAGAAGGATTTTCAAGTTCAAATCCTATATTTTTAAGAAAAAACTAGCCCATATTGATAAAATAATATTATTGATTTTTCCCGGCTCTATTGGATTGGGTAATGTAAATTCCAAAAAATCAATCGGCACTTAAAGACAATGATTACTCGATATTACTCAATAAACTATTATAAATATTATTTTTGTATTATTCACATAATTGCAAAATTAAGCAATCTATTACAATGATAGTTAATTTATTCACTACAATGGGTTATAATTTTTGTATATGTTCGATTATACAGACTCAACCTTTCAAATAAGATGAATCAGTATATTAATCCTAATATTTATTATAATTACATCAGACATATAGTTTGATATCTTATTAATCGTATTAATTATGTTTTAGATTATCTGCTTTGGATAAAAAAATATTTATGTCTAGAAAAAAGATTAACATTTTTAGAAATAATTAATAGTAGTAGAGTTGTTTCAAAATCTTATGAGCTTTGACCTTCATATGCGCAGAAACATAATTCCGACCGTCGCCTAAATTATTATAGGTCCTAAAAACATTACATCTATTATTCACAGTCTATCTCGAGCTCTCGTAGCATAAACAAGCCTTTGATCCGATTACAAATATCATAATAAAATGCCCTATTCTTTATTATTTTAATTTAAGCAAACGAACGTTTGCCAGTTGACTTTAGTGGTGCCCGAGCGCCTTAGTTCATTCCTGGTTGTAATGAGGCACGTAATCTAATTCTAATTTTCACAACGTGCTTATTAGAAGAATTATGCGGATACGCCACGCCTTTCGCGCATATCGCGGCTCATGAGATTTTGAAACTACTCTAACATTATTTTTTCTTAAAAATATACAGGGTGTAACTTTAAGTAGATGTCAGAGGTGTCCTCGGAATGCTAATCTCATTTTGTTATGTATAAATTTGAATCCTATTCAATTCAGTATAAATATGTTTTATTTTCTTTTCTACTAGTTTCGACTATTATGCCATCATCAAGGAAAAAGAAAAATGATAATCATGGGAAAGCATATTCTTCGTAAACTAAGTACTAAATAACATTATAATTTTGTTTAAATATGAAAATGTTGGTATATTTAAAAAGAAACCTTTATCTCATCGTCCCAGGTTAAGGACAAACAATTGTTTGATTGTGTGTCCTCAGTCTATATCTAATTTATCCTATTACATACGTACTCGTCTATTGTCAATCAGTATTACAATGTATTTTCGTCAAGAAGTTGAATAATTTGTGTTAATACTAAAATTATCACTTAAATGTAATATACAATTCCTCTTTGATTTTTATTAGATATATTTCATTATTTTACTATAAATTTTTTACTTTTCTTAATCGACATATCTGATAATAATTTTTCAATTTTTACTTTGCTTTGCTATGATAAGGCACTTTATGTAAATAAGGACACTTGAAAATAAGCAATCTCATAAAAAAACAAATACACATTTCAAATTTATTTAAGCAGTCGATTTTTCACAAAATTTGTATCCGGTGATTTCCTATATGAGTACATAATCAGCGCTAGAGGCGATGGCACACTGACTGTTTTTGTTGCGAGACATTTTGACGTAGCCTTCAACCCCCCAGTCAGCGCCCCATGAGTTTTTCACCTCCCAATAGTCAATACCATCTGAAGTAGTGCCATAACCAACTATGAGCACCACATGGTTGGTAAAAGTAGTACTGCAACTATCGTTGTCGAACACTCCTCCTCCATAGAGGTGCAAGTAACTGGCATCTATAGATACTGAGACTGGACCGATCTTTGCTAAAATCAAAATTAGTAAGGAGCAAATCGAAGATAAATCTGAGCCTGCGAAGAAACAGTAGTCAGAGGTGAGAATATTAACTCACCAACAGCGGTTTTTATAGCATTTTCATCCTGAGGGATGGTAACGATGCCTATATCCTTAAAAAATGTACCGTTAGCTCTACACGCTTTGTCTGCTGCTTCATACGGATAGCTTTTATCGGTTACCATTCCAATATCTCTAACACTACGATATGCGTTAAGTGTCCAACCTCCAGAGCATCCGTTGTTCATCATAGAGCAATCTATTAAGAATTGTTCACTAAAACTCTCTAATTTGCCAGTTTTCAGGAAGTATTGGCCTTCCAAAACACCAGTCTAAAAGAAAATGTCATCATACAGTCACAACAGTGAAATATATAAACAAAAGTCTATAACATAATCATCATTTTTAACTACAGCACCAGTTACAAGTCATAACAGATTAAAAAAAGGCAAAAATATGATAGTGAATGAAGATACTCAAAAAAAGATTTAGTACTAATGTGGCACTGTTGTGGAAACTGATTTGGTGCATCAGATATGCTAAATATATTCGTTTTCTTTCACTAGAATTGTATATTTGACTTTAAGTAGATAAGTTTAATCAAGAAAACTCATCAGTTACATTGAAGGTAAACTTGATCAAAACTTACTGCACCAAATGCCCAACATCCTCCGCAATTTCCTTGGTCTTTAACACCCGTGACTGCCCCTTTGTCCCTCCAATCTAGCTCATCTGGAACATCGGTATCATCAAAATTACCAAAAACCGGTGTTTCTACGGCTGGTCGTGGGTTCAATCTGGCTTTGAACTCCTCTTCCGTCAATCAGCGAATTTATTCACAGCTAGTTTGTAGGAGACCTCCCCACGGGCAAACCTCCGATTGTGTTCTTCAATTTTGTAAACATTATCTTTGAATATCTGGAAGCGAGTGAATTCCTCCAACCGGCTTCTATAGTGCCTCCCAACGTTATCCTTAAATTAAATATGAGTTTCGCTCAAATTCTTTGAAAGGAAATAAAATAAGTATAAGTTTGAATAAGTTGATATAGTTGATAGTAACTAATATTTAAATAGTTCCCATTTGAATGTTTATAAATACCTTAAATGATTGCCACTGCTTCTCAACAGAAGTACCATTTACTACCAAAATGGCACAGAAGAAAACTATAAATATTCTCATAGCAGTGGATTCCTAACCGGCAGATAATAAGAACATTAATTGAATTTAAACTTTGAAATCACAACTTTTTATTAAATATTCTTATCGTTCTATTTATCAAAACACGATAAACTGTTGATATGAATCATTATTGGTTTGTTCTAAGATGAGTGTAACTTAACAATGACGGGATGTTATTTAACAACTTTTAATGATGAAGTGTGTACTTATTTTTTAATTTGTCGCTATCTTGAATATGTTTGTTAATTTTCTTTAATTCGTAAGTGTTGTTTCATTTTTACTGATGGATATCGACATCCTGTAAAGGATATATGGACAAAATAATCTTTTACCAGTGAGAAACAATATTTCCTTCAACTTTAAACATAAAGATTTTCTTGGCTTATACAGGGTGTACCGTTCATGTTTCAAAAGAACTTGTGTGCAAGTTTCTCATGGAAAAATAATAGGGATAGGTCATGTAAAGTTTTTTCTTAGACGCCCAGTTTTCGATATACAGTGTTGTTACTATAAAAATGGTTTTCCTTAATTACCTTTNCGTTGTCGAACACTCCTCCTCCATAGAGGTGCAAGTAACTGGCATCTATAGATACTGAGACTGGACCGATCTTTGCTAAAATCAAAATTAGTAAGGAGCAAATCGAAGATAAATCTGAGCCTGCGAAGAAACAGCAGTCAGAGGTGAGAATATTAACTCACCAACAGCGGTTTTTATAGCATTTTCGTCCTGAGGGATGGTAACGATGCCTATATCCTTAAAAAATGTACCGTTAGCTCTACACGCTTTGTCTGCTGCTTCATACGGATAGCTTTCCTCGGTTACGATTCCAATATCTCTAACAGTACGGTATGCACTAAGTGTCCAACCTCCAGAGCATCCGTTGCTCATAGAACAATCTATTAAGAACTGTTCACTAAAACTCTCTAATTTGCCAGTTTCCAGGAAGTATTGGCCTTCCAAAACACCAGTCTAAAAGAAAATGTCATCATACAGTCAGTACAGTGAAATATATAAACAAAAGTCTATAACATAATCATCGTCTTTATCTACAGAACCAGTTACTAGTCATAACAGACTAAAAAAGGCAGAAATATGTTAGTGAATGAATATACTGAAAAAATGTTTTAGAACTAATGTGGCACTATTGTGGAAACTGATTTGGTGCATCAGATGCATCAGATATACTAAACATATTCGTTTTGTTCCACTAGAATTGTATATATATATGACTTTCTCTAAGTAGATAAGTTTAATCAAGAAAACTCATCAGTTATGTCGAAGGTAAACTTGATCAAAACTTACTGCACCAAATGCCCAACATCCTGAGCAATTTCGTTGGTCTTTAACACCCGTGACTGCCCCTTTGTCCCTCCAATCTAGCTCATCCGGAACATCGGTATAACCGACATTACTAAAAACCTTTGGATGGTCAATTTCTACAGCTGGTCGTGGGTTCAATCTGGCTTTGAACTCCTCTTCCGTCAAGTCAGCGAATTTATTCACAGCTAGTTTATAGGACACCTCCCCACGGTCAAATCTCTGATTGTGTTCTTCAACTTTGCGAACATTATCTTTGAATATCTGGAAGCGACTGGATTCCTCCAACCGGCTTCTATAGTGCCTCCCAACGTTATCCTTAAATTAAAAATGAGTTTCGCTCAAATTTTTTGAAAGGAAATAAAATAAGTATAAGTTTGAATAAGTTGATATAGTTGATAGTAACTAATATTTAAATTGTTCCCATATGAATGTTTATAAATACCTTAAATGATTGCCACTGCACCTCAACAGAAGTACCATTTACTACCAAAATGGCACAGAAGAAAACTATAAATATCCTCATAGCAGTGAATTCCTAACCGGCAGATAATAAGGACATTAATTGAATTAAACTTTGAAATCACAACTTTTTATTAAATATTCTTATCGTTCTATTTATCAAAACACGATAAACTGTTGATATGAATCATTATTGGTTTGTTCTAAGATGAGTGTAACTTAACAATGACGGGATGTTATTTAACAACTTTTAATGATGAAGTGTGTACTTATTTTTTAATTTGTCGCTATCTTGAATATGTTTGTTAATTTTCTTTAATTCGTAAGTGTTGTTTCATTTTTACTGATGGATATCGACATCCTGTAAAGGATATATGGACAAAATAATCTTTTTCCAGTGAGAAACAATATTTCCTTCAACTTTAAACATAAAGATTTTCTTGGCTTATACAGGGTGTACCGTTCATGTTTCAAAAGAACTTGTGTGCAAGTTTCTCATGGAAAAATAATAGGGATAGGTCATGTAAAGTTTTTTCTTAGACGCCCAGTTTTCGATATACAGTGTTGTTACTATAAAAATGGTTTTCCTTAATTACCTTTAAATCGGCTAAAAATTTCATAATTTGCATACGAGTAAACATCAACTGTGCGATAAGAATAATAGTAGGGTATTTTAACCGTTTGTGAGTCTCCCCCCTCCACTTTCGCCCTTGAAATGACATATGTGGTGACGTATGAGGTGACCGTGAAGGTCACATAAGTAGGTGATCTTTAAATGACCTTCGCGTAGTTATATAATAATAGTAAACACTGTATTCTAGGGTCACCTTTATAGTTATTTCTAGTAGTGGATTATATATTTAATATTTGTGAAAGGGTGCTAAACAGAAAAGAAAATGTAAATATTCAGATGTAACAAATTTTGCCCACAAATGTTATATTTAGTTTATGAAATTGCGTTGATGTTGATAACTGGATAAAATCTTATTACCTCAAACTAAATTAAATATATAGAATCATTTTCAGTGTNACAAGTTTTTTTGAAACATGAACGGGACACCCTGTATAATGAACTGACTAGTTTCTACTGATAAATCAATTAATGATATACTTCAACAGTTTTAAAATAAAATAGATAACGCCCTCTGCAAATACACCCGCTTAAAAAGATCTACAAGTAAAGTTTATTTTTAATTATGTTATGTGTGTTTATATACTATTTTTTTAATTGCGGCTTTTGATTATTATGCTTTTTTATATTACTTACAAAATAGCTTTTAAGCATGTTTTTGTTTTATTGTACTTTTGTCCGTTATCGTTTTTTTACCTTTTTAATGTTTCTACTGTAATTTTGTATTCTCTTTACCCTCTGTCCTTTAGTTGGGTTTTTACACCTGTAGGACAGTGTATCAAAAAATAAAACACTTGCTTTGATAATTTGGCCTTTAAAGAATAAAAATGTGCCTGGAGATTATACAGGGTGTTCTTCTTTAATGATGTGCGAATATTTAAGTGTGTGATTTTGCATGGAAAATTATAAAGCACAAAATATAAAACAAACTATTACTTTTCCATGTAGAATCACACCTTTAAATATTCGCATATCATTAAGGAACACCCCTAGTTGATATAGTCGATAGTAACTAATATTTAAATTGTTCCCATAAGAATGTTTGTAAATGACCCCATTAACGTTATAAAGAGGGTATGTTGGGAACAAAGAGGGGTAGGCGATTTCTTTTTTTTTTAATTACAGTAAAAATAAGCTCTATATAATGCAAAAAGAGCGAATTCTTGAGCGGCTTTTGCCTGACCCTGGGACAATTTGTTTATAACGCTCTTTTACAAGCGCTATTTTATTAGGGCAACTTAATTTCTTTTTGAAATCTTTTTTTTCGATACGTTTTTTTTTTTGGAATTAGAACCTATATCTACGATAATAACTTCTAAAATTAACGATTAGTAATTAAACAATTAGTTGCAAAAAAACACAACACAATGTTAATTAATAACCTTTATTTTACAGTTAACAAATTAGTGAAAAATGACTCTAGGTACCTTCAATTGTAGATAATTTAGTTACCCACAACATGAAATAACTAATACTCCGACAGGTTGTCTAGATTTTCGTGGGGAGTAAAAAAAGTGAAGAAAGACGTAAATTTGCTACTTATTTGCAATTTGACAATTTAGCGTCACTTCTTTCGAGTTACTTATTTGATATTATACCATTCTACATACCTTTCCCCATCATAAAGTGCAATAAAATGTCAACTCATAATTTCTTCACGTTCAAACTCTATGTAATTCGACTGGAGTATTTGACATCAACGAATAATCCATATTAAAGTTGTAGATAAGAAAAAAATACTCTGTGTGTATATATTGAAAGGAAAGGAACATTGCAATTGAATATTAATCGTTCATTTATTTAGCATTAAATTACATACGAGTAGACATTTATTTATCTAGTATTGGATATATGGCACCATCAGCAACACCACACTGGTTTCCAGTATTTCTTGCAAGTCTCATGTAACCTTCTTCGCCCCAACTAGCGCCGTAAGACATCTTCACAGTCCAATAGTCTTCTCCTTCATCGGAAGTACCATACCCAACAATAACACCAGAGTATGACTGACCTAGCTGACAGTCGGGATCATTGTATATTCCACCAGAATAAGAGTCCAAGCTTTGTCCTTTAAAAGTCACTCCTACCGGCCCAATCGTTCCTATAATTAAATATAATTTGATATAAAAAAAAATTAATCTATGTTGAACAATGAACATGTGTTAAGTGTATCCTAATAAATAGGTATGTACATACTTACCAACCACAGTTTTGATCACCTCTTCGTCTCTAGCCAATATTACAAAACCCATCGTTCTGAAAAGGCTGTGGGAACCGTTAATTTTGCAAGTTCCTGCAGTGCCTGAGTAGGGATAATCTTCTTCCAGTACAACACCTCTCGTCCTAACAAAATCTATAGAATTTAAAAGTCCTCCACCATTGCATCCATTGTTGTAACCATCAGAACAATCCAAAACGTATTGTTCACTTAAATCTAAAGTTTCACCAGTTTTCAGGTAATGGTGACTTGCAATGACATCAAGCTGTAGAAGAAGATATTAGTTTTTGCAATGTAAATTTTAGTGGTACTTACAGCGGCAAAATAAAAACTGCCATCGCAGCTCAATTGGTCTTTTACTTTCGTAACGAGACCTTTGTCCCTCCAATCAAATTGCTCGGGAACTTCAATAGAAGTTACACCGAGAACAAGTAATACGTAAGCTAATATCGAGAAGGGTCTCATTTCCAGTTATGTTCTTCAACTTAAATTAATATACTAATAATAAAATAATGAGAATATATACTCAACTGATTTGATACCCTTGACTGATTAAAAAAATGTAAAGGGCCCATATCCGTAAAAACAGTACATTACTACTTAAGTACTACTTAAATATTGTCTCGTTCTTACTTAGGTATTAGATTATGCTTTTAAACTAAAGTGTCAATAGTTTTAAGGTGAAGTATCGATGAATCTCCTTCTGATAAATTAAATTTAAAATTGTTTCCCCGGATGGGGTACCGCATTCATGTAAACTTTTTTACTGTTGATTTTTCGAAAATAGAAGTTTTAGAAAGTTTTGCAGTAACCAAGTATGTAATAAAACATACACAGCGTCCAAAGAATTTTCAATATATGAAATTTTCCCTAAGCAAAATGCCTTTAATTTTTGTATTTAACAAAATTGTTCGAGAACTCAAGAAATGCTTTTAAATACGGAGTTTAGTCAAAAAAGAAGAATAATCATATTTTGCAAATAAGACGCGATTTTTAACTGTATTAAAGCAGAGAGAAATTCTAAAAAATAAGTAAACTTTTATTTTAAAAGCCCCCGCACACACCTTACGGAAATTGGTCTTTTGGTGAAATTTCCTGAAAATGTGTTATATTGTTCCTTTTTTATTACTGATCAAAAGTCTTCATGACCACGAAGCTCCAAATGCCCATCTGGAGGCAGGTAGGGTACACAAAATAGTAAGAAAAGTACAAAATTGGATCTCAAATATAATTTTTTTGACATATAATGTAGCAAATATAACTTTTTTAACATATAATGTAGCTTGTTTAACAATGATTAGCACATATTTGACAGAAATCTGTGAAATGCTCCCACAAATAAAGAATAACGACAATTACCGCTAACATTAGAGTAACCCCATGTGCACCACGAGGAGGCTGTCTAGTCGGCTTTTGCGGATCATTATGCTTTGAAAATGATAGTTTGTTTGTGTGTACATTTCCGTGTATATTTTCAATAAACACAAAATATCATACAATTTTTTTTAATATTAATTAATTAATAATATTAACGATTTTTATTTATATGATTTTATATTATTTCTTACAATTATATACAAATTTTTTATTTACATCTTATTTATATTTTATATTTAATCTTAATCTGTATATTATTTTTTCCATATGAATATTATTTTAGGTACTTGTCTGATTTACTTGACGAATTTTACTAAAATATTATGAGATTATAAATTTTATTTTAATAAAAAAACTATATTTTCTCTTAAAATCTTAAGTAATTAACACACACTTTAAGAAAAAATTCAGCCGCATTTGGAAGTCCTGAAAGAAATAGGCGTAAGACACCAAGACGGATGGGATGTTGATATGATGCCTGACTTACATATTTTGGTTACTGAAAAGAGAAACTCAAGGGAGTAGTTTGAAAAGAGTCCGACATTTTTTGCTCAAGTCATTCGGGGACAAAAAAAGTACATTATAAATAATTAATAATTTTTCCTTTCAAGGTTACCGGAATGGACACTATATCATTTTATAATATTTACTTTAATTATAATTTTCGAGTTGAATGTGGTATTCACATAATTCATACTTGCAAACTTGGTTGCCCACTACATATAGGTATGCGAAATGAAATTTCCCAATTCAAAAAAATTACTGGAAGAATGCAATTTAATCAGTATTATCGTTTTTAAGGTAGTTATGAAAACCATAACTAGTATCAAGATAAGTATCTGATAAGCATATGACACAAAAATCTAAGAAAATGTTATATTCTATAATATACAATGGAATATTTTCCACAAAAACCGGACAGTCAAATTGTTAAAAACATTTTATGAAAAACATATTCTCTGATTTATTTTTAAACGGGTGCTCCTGTGCCAAAATTTTTACCACATATTTAATTTATCAAAAGCAACAAGTCAGGTCAATTTTTTTTTCGAAAATCTTAGTTTTTAAGATAATACACTTTTTTAAATATTTAACTTTGTTACCCGCCATTGGGGCATACATCGAAACGCTTAGTGAATAATAAACAAAAAGATACTGACATAATTCGGTTACTATAAAAAAAATAAGAGTAAAACATTATGAAAAGTAAAAAATGATATACTGTTTACTCCCTTAAAATAAATCAGTCAGAAATTGTTATTTCGTCAGGTTATCATCAAATATTCAAAACGTCATCCATTGTCAAGTCATAATTGTACACAGCGTTGAAAATTCCCTTTCACTCTTACTAACATTTGCGGATTGTTACGATTATTTTGGCGGCATTCTCTATTTGTTCTCGTAGTCTTCCATAAATGTAAGCCAGACGGATTGAAATCTGGCTGTCAGGCGGATCATACCATAGGCCAATTTCGATCAATTAAAAGTTCAGGAAAGTGCTGACTAGAACAGTCTCGAATAATTGAGGCACTCTGACACAGAGCACCGTATTGAAGATGCCACACGTTTGGATGAATTTCCAGAGGAACGCCATCCAGTAAATACTTAAAAAGTATAAATACCTTCAGCCATTTGGTACAACGTGTGGTTCAAGAACCGTTCATTTATTATTCCGTACCAAGATTTACTGAAAATCTTTGAAAAATCAAGTTACAAAAATGCTTGGATATTTTTGTATATTTCTTTGTACTTTGCTTTGCTAATTTATGTAAATAAGGACACTTGGAAATAGGCAACCTCAAAAAAAAAAAACAAATACACATTTCAAATTTATTTAAGCAGTCGATCTTTTACAAAATTTGTATCGGGTGATTTCCTATATGACTGGATAATTAGCGCAAAAGGCGATCGCACACTGACTGTTTTTGTTGCGAGACATTTTGATGTAGCCTTCGACCCCCCAGTCAGCACCCCAAGAGTTTTTCACCTCCCAATAGTCTATACCATCTGAAGTAGTGCCATAACCAACTATGAGCACTAAGTGGTTGGTTAAAGTAGTACTGCAACTATCGTTGTCGAACACTCCTCCTCCATACAGGTACAAGTAACTGGCATCTATAGATACTGAGACTGGACCGATCTTTGCTAAAATCGGAGTTAGTAAGGATCAAATCATAGATAATATGTGAGAATAATAACACACCAACAGCGACTTTTATAGCATTTTCGTCCTGAGGGATGGAAACGATGCCTATATCCTTAAAAAATGTGCCATTAGCTCTACACGGTTTGTCTGCTGCTTCATACGGACAGCTTTCCTCGGTTACCATTCCAATATCTCTAACAGTACGGTATAAGTGTCCTACCTCCAGAGCATCTGCTGTTCATCATAGAGCATCTATTAAGAATTGCTCACCAAAACTCTCTAATTTGCCAGTTTTCAGGAAGTGTTGGCCTTCCAAAGCACCAGTCTAAAAAAAATGTCATCATACAGTCATAACAGTGAAATAATAATAATAATAAAATGTCTTTATCGGGTATTGTATAAAGAAAAAATTACAATATTTAGGCAAGGCGAAGTTTAGCTTCCGCTACTTGCTTAACACTTATAAACATACTATAAAACACAAATACAAAAAAAAATACAAATACAGAAAAAGAATATAGAAATATATACAATGGACGTCAAAAGCTATAAAAGAAAAAAGAGTAACATGATATATGCAATTTATTTAGAGCGATGAAAAAAATAAATAAATAAATTATATTAACATCTATACTAAAGAACAAGAACAATAAGTTAAGATGGAAGATTACAAATATAAGATTTTACTTATTTGCGATAGTCAGCAACAGAATTTTGTTTCAGTTTACTATTAATAGTATAAATAGTACAAGCATTAAATGTAAAAGAGCGAGTAAACATGGCTGAACGAAATTTAGGTAGAGAAAGTTTGGATGGAAACCTTATATTGACGTTATGAATTCCATCACGGCGTATAAGTTTTTCTTTAAGATATGGTGGGGAAGATGTGTGTAAAATTTGATTTATAAAAACACTAAAATGAAATGTAAAAGTATCACTGATATTCAACCAACCCAACTATCTAATCTTTTCAAAAACTCTATCATATATTTTAAGCGAAAAACAAATCTACAACAGATGTTTTGAATTTTCTGAAGACGATACTGAGTAATTTTGTCTAAACAAGGAAAATATACAATATTGCAGTAATTTAAAATAGACAACACAAGTGATTGAACCAATTTTTTTCTTAATTTAACATTTAATATACTTACATTTTGCTAAAGCAACCTCAAAGCAATATAACATCTATTTACCAAAATAGAGACTTGTTCTCGAAACCGAAGCTTAGAATCTAGGAGGAGACCTAGATTTTTTACTACATCTAAAGAATTTAAGGGCTGATTATTAATATGCAATTTTAATTATCTCTGCATTTTTATTTTCATGTGTTCTGGTGTGAAGAAAATAACATTACATTTACTAGAATTAAGTTTTAAATTATTACGTTCAGAATAATGCAAAATAGTTTCAAATATCGGAGTTAATATTATTGTTAGCTGTAATAACGTCGCTATTGAAGGAAAAAGACAACTGTGTATCGTCAGCATAGACGTTAGAGTAATCTACCGACTTAAAAATGTCAGCCGTGTAAATGAGAAACAGAAGGGGGCCCAGGACTGAACCTTGAGAAACCCCCGAAGAAACAATACCAGCCTGTGAAGATTTATCATTTAACATAACTATTTGCTGACGGATATTAAGGTATGTCTTAAAGAAATTCATGTTGTATCAAATCCATAATAAAATAACTTTTCACAAAGTAAAGCCTAATCAAGATTGTCAAAAGCTTTAGAGAAGTCTAATAAAACCAGACATGTTGTATTACCTTGATCTAAGTTTCGTAAAATGTCATCAGTGACATTTGCTAACACAATGGTTGTACTATACCCCTTTCTAAACCCAGATTGTTGCGATGGCAAAATATTATTTTCTGTTACATACAAAAGGAGTTGATTATATGCGATCTTTTCTAACATCTTTGATAATGCCGGAATCAAACTTATGGGGCGAAGATCGCTATAAGATAAAGGA